AATTGGCTTCAGAGAGACCACATGGACACCCAATCTGTCTTCTCTCAATCAGTAATCTTCGTATTTAAAGAAAATGTAATTCTACCCAATCATGAGGCCAATATTTGTGAAGCAAGATAGGGTTAGTGTTCATTAATAAATGATGACAGGTGGATAGGCATCTGTCAGCAATCTTTCAGAAAGGATTTGGTGTCCTAGGACAGTAGACTGACCAAACAACCCATTATTCCTCTTCCAAATCTGTATTTGCATTCTGTAGAAAGTTGAGATAGTTCCAGAACAAATTCTAGATCTTGAAACTTCACAATTGATCATAGCACTTCTTTCTCCAAGAAAGTGCTTCCTGTTGGAGAGATTCTATTCTGACCTGACCTTCCACAAAGGTGTTGTAGGTATCCAGCATTTCATTTAACCCACAATCCTTTGCACACCATTCTTTTGACTGCCCTACTTCAGATCACATTACATATCAGAGCAAACTGATTAAATCTAGTATTCTAGAACTATTTCTTCAGATTGTAAAGGTTAACTGAAACCCTATTAAAGAGGGAGAACAACCCAACACATACAACCTAGTTCTCCCAAACAACAGAGAAGGTGGTAAAGTTGTGTCTCTGGCTTGTACCCCTTCAAACTGCAGACCACTGAAACTATTAGGGTTGAAATGAAGAAATTTTTGAACTGTAAGAAAGAAAGTTACCTTGGAATATAAAAATGTTTGGGGGCAGGGGGAAGCATTGTGGGAAGCCAACCAAAGGGGGGGGGTAATATAAGAAATGGATATGAAGATGGAATGTTTTTAAATGTTGAACATGTAAATCCAAAATAAAAAATTTTTGGAAAAAAAAAACTGCAGACCACTGAATGCTCTCCTATTAAAAATGTGCATATAGAAAAGCAGATGTGAAGGGAAAAGGTTCTAAACTGGCCTTCACTCTGAACCCACTACTTTTCTATGTGAAGAAATGCCTTTTCACAGTGGTGGACATTCAATGTGACCCCTGCATCTAAGGTATGAAGTGGTATAATCCAGACACAACTTTGTTACCTCATGTGCTGCTGCTGAGAAATAAAACAGAGGAAAGTTTAAGCATACTGATTTCAACAGGTTTAAGTGCACCTAACTGTGACCTAAATTGTAGCAAAGAGTTCTTTAAAAAAAACAAAACACCATGTTGTGAAACACAGAGAAATGCTGAGTTAATTTATTCAAAAGTTAGCTAAGCAGATACTAGTTAATATGTTTACTCTATTAATTATCCTAAATATACAAGCGAGGCACTGTTATTCAACTCATTCATATCAAGTTCAAACTTCTCTTACATTTCTTCCTCTGACTGCTAATTTATGTTTTTTTTAAATGTGCCATACTTTCATTACCTGAATAGTTCATATGTAAAAAAATAAACACATTTCCAGTCCTTCTAAGCGAGCAAACACAATCATGCTGAATAATATTCCTTGAGTGACCATTTGAATTCAAGTCAGCTTTTCTTTTTAAAAAAACCCACATCGGGTTATAAAAAGGGAAGCAACCAGACATTTTCAAATCCTCACTTTCCCCCCTTCTTTCCACAATTGCATTCCCAAACAGCTGCACCAGCATTATGAACAATCATAACTCGCCACTAATTTAAATGCTCTTAATATTCCCAAAAACTGCATCAGCATCAAGAACAACCTTAACTCGCCACCAAAATTTCAATGTTCTTTAAAGATACTTTGCTGCTTCTATGAACTCTGGCTAGATTGTAAAACAAATTATAAAGTAGTACAGGAACCAACAGAGAAAAGGCGGGGGGGGGGGTTGAACTACCCATATAAAAACTTCCAGCAGTAGCATCTATCTGCTTCTGAATCAAGCTTCCCATTCCAATGCACTCCCTAATAACGTTGCACACACAAACTTGCTGCATCTTTCACACAAAGCATGGGGTGCCTTGCAAGCCTTAAAAGTTCCAGTTGTCCAGCCCAAACTTTCCCTTCCATAAGAGCAACAGAGAAGTGAGATGCTATCCCCTCAGCTCAGCACCCTGTCGGGAGCACACTGCACAACATTTTATCTTCTTACCCCTGACGTGCACGGAGAGGAGAATGAGCAAGGAAACATGAAGCTGCCAGTTTGGCTCGTCTAGCCAGTTCATTGCAGAAGCGGCAGGAGCAACGGTGGCGGCAGCTCTGATTTGCTTGTGGTTTCCAATCTCCTCTTTCTCTCTGCCCCCTTGCTTATTTCACTTAACAGCCTCTTCTGCTCCCGCCTCTCTCAGATCCTCTGATGAGTCCTGCCAGCCAAGCCTGGAGATGAGAAAGTGAAAGGCAAGCCTGTTACAAACTGGTTCTGTCACTGCACAGTCTTCAACCGATCACCTCGTGGGGAGGACGACAAAAGGACAGCAAGACTCCCAAGCTGGACTGGATTCCTGAGACAGGAGCACGGACTGATTGCTGCCCACACAGGGAATTTGTGTAAACTTAGAAGCTGCAGCCAAATGGGGGGGGGGAGATTTCAAGCTCCCCTCTTCTCTTTCACACTCACATGCACAAAACAAAGGCATCAAATTCTGAAGGCTCCATAATAGGAGGCATAAGGACCTTTTGGGGAGGGAACCAGGCATTACTAGGAACACAGAATTTGTCTTTTTTCCCCCTTCCTTCAAAGAGCTATTGATTTTAAAAATACTTTATTATTTCACTACTCAGATTTATGTACTAAACAACGGAAAGATGTGTGAGATACACTGTTAAATAACTACACTAATAATAAGTTTTACGAGGGGGGACTTTTACATTGCAGTCTACCCTTCGGACTCAGACACTCTTAACAGGCAACTTTGCTTTGGGCTCGCTTAAAGGTAACTGGGCCCAAATTAGTTCAAATAAGTTTGGTCCCACTCTCTCTGCTCCAGGTCTCACCATATACCCAATGTTATTGACTTGAAGGAAAAAAACAAAATAGTACAAGGCCCAAATAATTTAAACAATTATTAGTTATGAATTTTATTTTATTACTAATTTCATAGATACAAGTGGGGACCCACAAGAAACTTGCGGGGCAGCTCTCTCTCCTCCATGCATGTCATTTCCTCTATCTTTTTGCCCCCTCACCACTCTGTTTTTCTGCCTCCCTACCTCATTACTCTTTCTCTCTCTGCCCCCCACCCCATCACTCTCCCAGCCTCCCACCCACTTCCTCCCTCTTGCACAGCGGCAGTGCGGCGCTCCCAACCACCCACCTGCTTTTTTCCCCCACACACAGAGCAGCAGCTATAGCTCTTCAGGAATCAAAACAGAATCTCCCAGCTACATTTATCAATTCCCCTTAGGGTTGCCAGCTCCAAATTGGGAAGTTCCTCAAAATTTTGGGGTGGAGCCTTGGGACAGTGAGACTTGGGGAGGGAAGCAACCAAAAAGGGTATAATGCTATAAATTCCACCCTCCAAAGCAGCCATTTTGTCCAGGGGAATTGACCTCTGTCACCTGGAGAGCAGTTGTAATTCTGGGTGATCTCTAGCACTCACCAGGAGGTTGGCAATTGTAGTTCTCATGGAGGAAATGGCTGGTTTGGAGAATGGAGTCTACGGTATTATACTGGTCGGATGTCCCTCCCCCTCCTCAAACCCCACCCTCCTCTCCCGGCCCATAGCCAGGATTTTGTGGCTTGTGGGGCAATTATTTTTCCTGGTAGGGCTGAAGTTCTCAGTGCAGAAAGAAAAGCCAAAATTCTGAGGATTATGGCTCATCTACTCTTCTCAAGCTGTCTATTGCTAGCATAGGTGTTCTTATGCTAGCAAGCACCCTTAGCCTATTAACTATTTAGTCAAAAGAAAGTTACCAGGATAGATTTCCAAACTGCAAGCTGTCAGCCACTTTAGATAACAGTTCTCAGCTGCTGCCAGTTAATCACTTCTGCCAGCCTAAGCAACAATTCTGATAGCAAGCCGGCAGGTGGGGGTGATGACTTCTACAGTCAAGAAAGCTAACACTTTGGCAGAAAAACTCCCTTAAAGGAAACCAGTTTCTTGACACAGAGTTAGAAGGGATCCTAGAGGTCACCTACTCTAATCCCCTTGCTCAGTGCAGGAATTAGTCAACTACAGCACCCCACTCTGTGTAATGGAGCACATGCCATTTAAAAAATGTTTTTAAATGATTGGAAAAAGCATTTATGGGAGAACTCTTATGGGGCTGTGCCTTTAAGAAAGGGGGCAGAGTCCTCAACAGCCCCATCACAGCTATGGGCCTGCTCCCCTCCCCCCAAATTTCTAGGAGTTTCCTAACCTTTCCTTCTCTTGGCAATTCTCATATCCTCCCCCGGCTTCATTCTCTCCTTCTCAGCTGCTCACCAACCTACCATTTATCTGCCTCTCATTATTTACTTACTTCATGTATACCTTCCTTCACAGTGGAAACCAAAGCAGCTTACATTATTCTCTTTTTCTCCTTTTTATCCACACAACAACTCTGTGAGGTAGGACATATGTGATTTGTCCAAAATCACCGAGTTTCCACAGCAAGATGGGGATTCAAACTTGGGTCTCACAGACCCTAGTGTGAAGTTCTAATTACTACACCACGCTGGCTTTTAGTGGGTGGATGTTGTTGAACAGTAGCAAGCAGCCAAGCCTAGTTCAGTCATGCAAGTCAGCTTGTATCAAGAGGTTATGAGTTGCCAACCTCCAGGTGGGACCAGTAAATATCCCAGAATTACAACTGAACTCCAGACAACAGAGATCTCTCCCTCTAGAGAAAATGACTGTTTTGGAGGGTAGACTCTATAGAATTATATTAAGATGAGGCCCCTCCCCAAACCCTGCCCTCCTCAGACTCTACCCCAAAATCTCCAGGAATTTTCCAACCTGGAGCTGGCAACCTCCTGGCTCCAATGAGTTCTCCACAAAGACCAAAATAGGTCTGAAAACGATCCTGCCCCTTCCCCCCCCCCCCCTTTTGATTCACAGAAACTGAAGCCTGGAATACTGTGGTTGCCTAGCAATCACCACTGAGAGAATTAATCGCTTAAAGCTACAGGCACTCTTTTTATCATTTCTGTACTTTTAAAGCTGCCCAGTGTATTTTTTTAGATTTCACATTTTTCTACAAACGTAGGGCCTTTTTAAGGTTTGTTGAAAGATCTGTCTTGCCTGTTCACAGCTCCAATCACCGGATTTAAGTATCCAAAGATATCCTGACTTCACTATTAGAATATAAGATAAAGAACACATTCATATAGAAAACAGAGCTATTGACTGTATCAATCCTATCAGGAGAGCATTTTTATCATTTGTTTACCATTGTTCTCCATATAATCCAGACTAGACTACTGTAACTCACTCTACACTGGCCTACCCTTGAGACTGACCTGGAAGCTCCAACTGATCCAGAATGCAGTGGTGCGAGTCCTGACAGGGACACTGCGAACTACACACATTTGACCTCTGATGCGCCAACTGCACTGGCTTCCAGTGGAGCACCGAATCGAGTTCAAGGTTTTGACCTTTAAGGCCTTGAGCAGTTTGGGACCAACATATCTACAAGATCACCTTCTCTGGTATACCCCCAGGAGAGCACTCAACTCTTTGCAGAACAACTTGCTGGTGGTCCCCGGCCCTGGAGACATTCAGCTGTCCTCACCAGAGCCAGGGCCTTCTCGGCCCTGACCCCAACCTGGTGGAACTCTCTCCCAAATAACATCAGGGCCCTCTGGGATCTTATCCAATTATGCAGGACCTGCAAGGCAGAGATGTTCCAGCAGGTGTTTACATCATGGCTGGCACTCTTTCTGGGTCCCCTGAAGGATTTTAACATCTCCCCCCCCCCATACCCATGAGGCAACACAGACCAGATAGTGGGAGGGATACACAAAATTTCGCCTCTTGATTTTTAATTACTGAACTATATATTTTGATAATGATTTTATGGTTTTACTGTCTTTAAAATTTGTACACTGCCTAGAGCCCCACACCTGTGGGGATTGGGCAATTTAAAATGTGATTAAATAAATAAATAAAAATAAAAACAGTGTTTGGAAAGTTATCACAAGATTTACATGTATCCCCAAATCACAATTCAAAAAGAGCAAAAAGCAGTCTAAACTTAAAGCAAAACCATGATCTCCCAACAGGAACCAGATTGATTCACTGAAATGAATTCTAGAACAAGCTGACATCATAGGTGATGGAATAAGGTCACCAACCTCCAGGTAGAGATAAGTTCACCCAGGGGAAATGGATGCTTGGAGGATCAACCCCATGGCATTATAGCCTGTTGAGGTCCCTCCCCTCCCCAAACCCTGCCTTCCCCAGGCTCCACCCCCAAATCTCCAAGCATTTTTCATGCTGAAGTTGGCAACCCTACCAATGGGATCACAGTACAAAAAAGGCAGGAGGAGAATAGTGACCAATAGGATGGACCAAAATTTGAAATAAACCAACATGGGACCCAGTGGAGAAACAAAAGGGTCTGAGAGAGGACATCAGGACATTTTTTCTGGGAGTCAGACCAGAAGGAATATACAGCAAACACAACCCGGATTCCTATATAAGGACCTGAGTGAGACGAAAACACAAAGAAAACTCTACCTGGCTTTGGAGTTATGAGCTCCTCCTTTTTGTTCTGAGATGCACCATGACTGCTTTGGTGAGGGTTCTCTCATTCATTCATACATACACACACAAATGTAATTAAAACATGATGAATTAATCTTGTAAAAATAGTATACTAAAGTATTAAACGTACTCTTCTATATAATTCTTCAATATAACTAAGAAAAGGTACACTATGCCCTACCTTTGTACACACTGATACAACAGCAGCTACTTCTATTGCTGTGCTCATAACTACAATGTTGAAATATTGCAGTAAACTATAACTCATTCTAAACTGACTAATTACTATGCTCCAGAAACCATCTGACTACATAGTTAATACTCTTAACAATCCTAAGCAGGGTTACACCCTTCTAAGTGTTCCCTTTTTACTTTGGTCAACTTATATTGGTCCTCACCTGGATGGCCCAAGCTGGCCTGATCTCATCAGATCTCAGAAGCTAAGCAGGGTCAGTCCTGGTTAGTTTTTGGATGGGAGACCACCAAGGAAGTCCAGGGTTGTAACGTAGAGGCAGGCAATGGCAAGCTACCTCTGACCATCCCTTGCCTTGAAAACCTCATGTGGTCACTGTAAGTCAGCTGTGATTTGATGGCACTTTCCACCACCACACTTACATGTGGACTTGAACATTGGGTTGGATCCAGACTAAACTGGTAATATCCAATATGCTGTTCCCATTGCTGACCCCA